AATTCCAAGCTCAAAACCCTTTACCCCTGAAAAATTCCAAGCTGAAAACCTTTTACCCCTGAAGAATTCCAAGCTGAAAACCCTCTACCCCTGAAGAATTCCAAGCTCTGAAAAATTTCAAATCAAACCTCCTTACCCCTGAAGAATTCCAAGCTCAAAATCCTTTACCCCTGAATAATTCCAAGCTCAAAACCCTTTACCCCTGAAGAATTCCAACCTCAAAACACTTTGCCCCTGAAGAATTCCAAGCTCAAAACCCTTTACCCCTGAAGAATTCCAAGCTCAAAACCCTTTACCCCTGAAGAATTCCAGGAATCCTCGACAGGGGGGTACGGATATTAAATGGAATAGCCCATTGGAACTTGTCTAGATAATAATCAACATGAAACCAGTTTAACACTCATGTACTTATTCTGTCAAAGCTTTGGACAAACAGAAGATTTCACGTGAGTATATTAAATAGACAATATATGTACTGCGACTGTTCATACAAACGGCGGTAATTATGTAGATTTAAATTTAATATAGATTTAGATTTAAAGGCAAAAGTGAAGACATACCCCGACAATATTTTTGTAGCCCTCCCAGCCTTTTCTGGACGCCATTCCCACATTTTACATCTTCGTATAACAGGCTATTCAACGTCAAGTGTGAATAAAAGCTATTTCCTAAAAGGCCTAAAACATTTGTGCAAAAAAATGCAATTTTTAAGGCAATAATTTGAGACGTTCACTTCTCAAAACACATTTCACGAAGTGCTAAATGATATCATTTTGGATTTTGTACCGCTGCCTTCGCGGCGCAATTTTTGCTTTGGCGGTTACGTCACAGAGTAGAGTCACCACCAATGGTCACCACTCTGTGGTTTCGTTAAAATAGGAATTTTGAAGAGTTTTGAGGATTTTTTAAGGAATTTAGGTTTTTGAGGATTTTTTTAAGGAATTTCCGAAACATTTCATCTTTTATCTTTTAACATTTTATCATTTTATCTTTCAGCCCCCTCCCCCTCCCCCAATCAAAAAGAACTCTCTACGGCACTGCTGGCTACTTAAATATGTCTAGATCAGTGCGTAAAATATGCGTATTTTTGTGCGTAAAATATCCGTAATATCAGCTGTTTATATTTTCATGCTTCTACAGTATAATAAATAATCAAGAAACAACAGTCAGGCTTTGCAAGAACATAAAAAGTGTTTATGAGCTTTGAAAAAAAATAAAAAGTGTTTTAAAGTGTTTATATCACGCCAGACCGGACTGTACCCTATCTTTAAGGTAACCCCTTACGTTTTTATATCGCTTTTTGAAAGATAGGCAAAGCAAGTATTAAAGGTTAGCCTTTTACGTTTTCGTAAGAGTTACAGATTTATGATTTGAAAAGTGGTGCAAAGATTCACATAAAAGTTGAAAAAGAGGGGGAAAAAAGAGTTAATTAGCACAAAAAAGGAGTTAAAGCAAGTGTAAGCGAGATACTCTAGGAGTAAGGACGACTAAGTGTTGCACGTGTGAGAAGCTAGGTTCGGTTCCTGGTTGTCTCGAAATCATTTTGGGCCCCTGTAGCAGAAAGTTGAATTTACCATGGTCTGACAATTGTATTTCTGGAATCTACGATCCATAAGCTTTCCCTCGATGCCTCATTCATGCATCACTGGGCCGGACGTGGAGATAAAAAGCAGTTTTTTCCACCTGTGTAATCGAAAAAGACGTGAAAGTTAATATATAAGTTAGGCTTAGGGTTAGGGCTGTTCCGAACCTGATGTTCTATTGATTTTCAAGGCCCCTGTAGCGGAAACGTGAATTTTCGCCAGTCTGGAAATTGTATTTTTGGAATGGCTACGGTCCATAGGCTTTCTGCCGATGCCTTATTTCTGTATCACTAGAGAGTTCATGAAGATAAAAAGCAGGTTATTCCAGGTGCACAATGGAAAAACACGTGAAAGTTAATATTATGCTGTTTTGAACCTTGCGTTCTATTGAATTCCAAGGCCTCTGCAGCAGAAACTAGAACTTGCCACGGTCTGAAAATTGCATTTTTGGAATCTACGGTGCATAATCTTTCTACCGATGCCTTAGTCGTGTATCATTAGACAGTTCGTGAAGATAAAAAGCAGGTTATTCCAGGTGCATAATCGAAAAAGACGAGAAAGTTAAAATTATGCGGTTTCGAACCTGATGATCTATCGAATTTCAAGGCCCTTGTACCAGAGACTTGAATTTGGGCGAGCTTGAAAGTTGTATTTCTGGAATCTACGATCCATAATCTTTCTGTCGATGCCTCATTCGTGCATCACTAGGCCGGAAGTGGGGATAAAAAGCAGTATTTTCCAGCTGTGTACTCGAAAAAGACGTGAAAGTTAAAATTTTATAAGTGTGGGTTAGGGTTTGGTTGTTTCGAACCTGATGTTCTATTGAATTTCAAGGTCCTCGAAGCGGAAACGTGAATTTACGCCGCCCTGATAATCGTATTTTTAGAATCTACGGTCCATAAGCTTTCTGTCGATGTTTTACTCCTGCATCAAAAGACAGTCCATGAAGATACAAACCAGGTTATTCCAGGTGCATAATGGAAAAACACGTGAAAGTTAATAATATGCTGTTTTGAACCTTGCGTTCTATTGAATTTCAAGGCCTCTGCAGTAGAAACTAGAATTTGGCACGGTCTGAAAATTCTATTTTTGGAATCTACGATCCATAAGCTTTCTATCGATGCCTTATTCGTGTATCACTAGACAGTTTATGAAGATAAAAAGCAGGTTATTCCAGGTGCATAATGGAAAAAGACGTGAAAGTTAATATTATGCGGTTTCGAACCTGATGATCTATCGAATTTCAAGGCCCTTGTAGCAGAGACTTGAATTTGGGCCAGCTTGAAAGTTATATTTCTGGAATCTACGATCCATTAGCTTTCTGTCGATACCTCATTCGTGCATCACTAGGCCGGACGTGGAGATAAAAAGCAGTTTTTTTCCAGCTGTGTAATCGAAAAAGACGTGAAAGTTAAAATTTTATAAGTGTGGGTTAGGGTTTGGCTGTTTCGAACCTGATGTTCTATTGAATTTGAAGGCCTCTGCAATAGAAACTAGAATTTGGCACGGTCTGAAAATTCTATTTTCGGAATCTACGATCCATAAGCTTTCTATCGATGCCTTACTCGTGTATCACTAGACAGTTCATGAAGATAAAAAGCAGGTTATTCCAGGTGCATAATGGAAAAAGACGTGAAAGTTAATATTATGCGGTTTCGAACCTGATGATCTATCGAATTTCAAGGCCCTTGTAGCAGAGACTTGAATTTGGGACGCTTGAAAGTTGTATTTCTGGAATCTACGATCCATAAGCTTTCTGTCGATGCCTCATTCGTGCATCACTAGGCCGGACGTGGAGATAAAAAGCAGTTTTTTTTCCAGCTGTGTAATCGAAAAAGACGTGAAAGTTAAAATTTTATAAGTGTGGGTTAGGGTTTGGCTGCTTCGAACCTGATGTTCTATTGAATTTGAAGGCCTCTGCAGTAGAAACTAGAATTTGGCACGGTCTGAAAATTCTATTTTCGGAATCTACGATCCATAAGCTTTCTATCGATGCTTTATTCGTGTATCACTAGACAGTTTATGAAGATAAAAAGCAGGTTATTCCAAATGCATAATCGAAAAAGCCGTGAAAGTTAATATTATGCGGTTTCGAACCTGATGATCTATCGAATTTCATCTTTCCCTGCACAAAATGATTCAGACGCAACCAGGAATCGAACCTTGCTTCTCACACGTGCAACACTTCGACCTTGCCATTAGACCGCCTCGCCTACACTTGCTGTAATACCTTTTCTATTCTACTTAACTCTTTCTCGTCTCGGGTGGAATTAATTAACAAGGATGCCTGACATTAAAACGCTTTTGACACAAGCAGGAATCGATCGTGGCTTTACGGACTTCCAACACTTTGTCTTTACCACTAGACCATCTCCCCTACATTTGCTTTAACACCTTTTTTATTCTACTTAACTCTTTCTCGTCTCGGGTGGAATTAATTAACAACGATGCCTGACATTAAAATGCTTTTGACACAAGCAGGAATCGATCCTGGTTTTACGCACTTTCAACACTTTGTCTTTACCACTAGACCATCTCGCCTACACTTGCTTTAACATCTTTTTTATTCTACTTAACTCTTTCTCGTCTCGGGTGGAATTAATTACAACGATGCCTGACATTAAAATGCTTTTGACACAAGCAGGAATCGATCCTGGCTTTACGCACTTGCAACACTTTGTCTTTACCACTAGACCATCTCGCCTACACTTGCTTTAACACCTTTTTTATTCTACTTATCACTTTCTTGTCTCGCGTGGAATTAACATTAAAATGCTTCTGACACAAGCAGGAATCGATCCTGGCCTTAAGGACTTGCAACACTTTGTCTTTATCACTAGACCATCTCGCCTACACTTGCTTTAACACCTTTTTTATTCTACTTAACTCTTTCTCGTCTCCGGTGGAATTAATTAACAAGGATGCCTGACATTAAAATGCTTTTGACACAACCAGGAATCGATCCTGGCTTTACGCACTTGCAACACTTTGTCTTTACCACTAGACCATCTCACCTACACCTGCCTGAACACCTTTTTTATTCTGCTTAACTCTTTCTTCTCTCGCGTGGAATTAATTAACAACGATGCCTGACATTAAAATGCTTTTGACACAAGCAGGAATCGATCCTGGCCTTACGGAATGCAACAATTTGTCTTTACCACTAGATCATCTCGCCTACATTTGCTTTAAAGCCTTTTTTATTCTACTTAACTACTTAACAACGATGCCTGACATTAAAATGCTTTTGACACGAGCAGGAAACGATCCTGGTTTTACGCACTTTCAACACTTTGTCTTTACCACTAGACCATCTCGCCTACACTTGCTTTAACACCTTTTTTATTCTACTTAACTCTTTCTCGTCTTGGGTGGAATTAATTACAACGATGCCTGACATTAAAATGCTTTTGACACAAACAGGAATGGATCCTGGCTTTACGCACTTCCAACACTTTGTCTTTACCACTAGACCATCTCGCCTACACTTGCTTTAACACCTTTTTTATTCTACTTAACTCTTTGACGAAAAATTTTTTTCGATTTGCCCGAAATTTTCTAAGTCTGACTCTGGTTTGTAAATCCAGCAGTTGTCTTGCTATAGGAACTTCTAGTTTATGGTTGATTCGATCAAGAATCCGGGTAGCGGGTTAGCGTAGTACAAAGTATAATAAAGGACGGGTTAGCATTTCTTATAGCAAAATGCGCTTTGAAATCTCCCTGTGCCAAAACTTTCTGCACCAATAGGCAGTTCTGAACCTTCCT